AGGAGTCTGGGCAGGGACACCCACAGACAAATGCATAGATCAGCAGAGGAGTCTGTCCTTACAAAGGCTCGGAATGCTGGGATGTATTTGAGAGATAGTTTTCTAGATTCTTCCCAAGCTTAGTACTGAATTTGTACTTTTCTAGCAGATTAAACAAGAAGTCCGTTCCCTGTACATAGAGTGTACCTTAGGTATAAGGTTCCACTTGTCAAAGAATGGCGCCTCCTTCCTCTGTCCCCCCCCCATTCCGCCTCCGTCTCTCTCCACATAGTTACCTGTCCATATTGGATAAAATGAATTTGAACTTGAGTCGTATCACATATGAAAACGTTTCTCTAAGTTTAAGCTTTGAAAAGTGAAAGATGAAAACACAAGGCAATCAAGATAAAACTATGTTGGATAAGGCTATTTCTGTGTGAAAACCTGTGTACTTGGAAAAAGCGAACTTTTTAATGAAGACATTTCAAATGCTTTCAAGTGTGAATTCTTTTATCTGATAAAAATAATACTTTGTAATGATGTAATTATATTCTAATTAAATTATAAAGTAATTTAAAGGCTACTTTAAATGGATATGAATATGCAAAATACATTTAGGCAAAAGGACACACTTGAAACAGAAGGCAAGTCTTTGCCCTCAAAATAGAAGTGTTCTTCTGAATAAGAAAAACTTTAAACCCTGCTAGACAAAAAGAGCTAATGGTGTCAGTCCTTGTTTCCATTGATATTTTGATTTATAATAGGCAAGGTTAACAGGCACTGAGGAATGGGAGCTCTCTTGTCTGAAAGGGTTTGTGAGTGGGGGTGGGGATGCAGTGGGGGTGGGGGTTTCCTTCTTAGAAAAGGGTGTGCCTCCAGTGATCTCGAAGGGGTTGGATGGTGGTTGTCATGTCAGAAGCATTTGTACTTCTAAGTTAAAACTGAGCACAGTTTTCAATGTTAAACCAATGAAGTTTATTTTATAAGTGGATACACTCAAGTGAGAGCATGTTAGTACTTAGTGCCTCCACTGGTACATGTTTGCACAGATGCTTTGGGGAAAGGTAGTTTTTCTTATGGTGAAGGTGAATGGTGGATTTTTACCACCTTTATGGCAGCAACTTTGCAACATGTACTAAGGTAAAAACTGTACCTTCCATTCTAGCAACATGCTTCTTGGTCTGTGTTCTATAGGAATAATAGTCCTGCTACATGAAAAACATACATCTACACTAACTCTATATGTTTAGTGTTACCCTGTCCGCAGAGGCTGGAATCTATATCATGGGGAGAATGGGAGATTTTCAAATTGTCAAATAGTTTTATCTGTGAGCATAGAAACATTTATTTACATGATTATTTGATGTATAGGAAAGGGGGCTGGTAGGGCTGACAGGGACCAAAATGCCCAATGACTCAGACAGAGCTGTGGAAGACCAGCATTCACTCATGAGAAGGTGCATAGGTGAGAACTTTCCAGATGGATTTCCACAAGACGTTGTGGAGAAGAGCGCACGTGGATGGGAATCGGAGTGTGTTCCAGTTCTGAAAGAATGTAGTGCTCAGGAGAAAAGTGGTGTTGAAAGGCTGTGTCTTAGTATATGTGGAAAAGCGCTGAGTGTGTAGATCCAAATGTTTAAGACTGATTGCACCTATGGAGAAAGAGTCTTGTAAGAGGAAAGGTAAGGAAATGAGCGACAGTCAAATCAGATCGATTGTCTCGGAAACCGAAGTCAGGTATATGGGAACCAAACCAATATGTGTGCATATACTTAGTAATATACAGTAACACACTCCCATATTGGTAACATATTTTTATACATACAGAAGGCAGGAGAAATTTGGTGTTTTGCATTGACAGGGATGTTCATTGCATGTATCACAATACAAGAAGGCTCATTCCAAAGCAGTATCTGCTCCATGGGTCTATTATGTAGAAGGGCATGCGTGGACTTTTGTTACATTTAAGATGCATAGGCTTTTGTTACATTTATAGGCTTTTGTTGCATTTTAGTTAGGGCATCTTCCGTGTTTCTAGGTTTCTTTCAGCTTTTCCAGGGAAAGTTTTAAATACAACCAGGCTTCAAGGTTGAATGTCCCTTTGTGTGCTGTGGTGTCATCAGCAGGGGAAGTGGTGGTTTTGTCCCTGTCCCTCAGTGCTACCCAGTGCATTGCAGACACTAGAGAAGCCATGGGGTGTGCTGCACTTAGTCTTGTGGTCTCAGAGATGAGTGAGGAGGCAGGTCTGGTCTGGTTGGTATCTTTTTGTACCTGCCTTTCACTTCCCTAAGCTACATGTTTAATGCTTTTGCTACGGGCTTGGAAAGTGAATACACAACTGAGTCTGAGAAAGGAAGTGAAGGGGTAACATGAGAGTCCTGATTGGTTAAGATGTCCGTCAATCATGGTGTTGCTGGCTAGCTTATTTGTGGCAGTTTTGCATATAAAGCAAACCACAGATTTTGTTGTTAGGTGAGAAAATGAGAATGTGTCAAGGAATGGGCAGCGCCTCTAGTCAAACTGCCTGTCTCTAACTCAGGCAGCCCTTCCTTCTCTGTGTTTTAGCACAGATACACCCTGCACCTTTTATGATTTCCACAAAGCGTTGGAAAATTCTTCTAATTAAGGTTGAAGTTCACGATGACTGGATATCTTCTGGGTTCCGCATAATATGGGAGACTCCCTTCACTAGCAGGGCTTCTCTTTCTCTGACCTTCTCTGGGGAATTCTAAGACTGCACATATATGTCTACCTGAGGAATGTCGCATAGCCTTAGTTAGATTATAGGATCAATTCCCTTTTTCCTGAGAAGAACCTGTTCAGCCAATACCTAGGATTCCTGAAATGCTTCCACATGCTAATGAGATATTTCAGTACCCTAAACCCTCAACCAATGACCTCAACAAATAGCCTGGATATTAGTTCTGAAAACTTTATAAGCCTTGAATCACCCTAAGTAAAGTTGATCTGCCTCCTGATAGTTGGTCCCAGTGTGACATTCACTGTATATACGTACTCGCAGGGCTTCTGAACCCCCTGCTTGTCCTCTCGACTCCTCCTACTGCCCTGGTGGATCTTATGAGCTGAAGAGCAGGTAGACCCACAACAAAGCATCTCCAAAAGCATCTTCATTACACACACACACACACACACACACACACACACACACCCTTTAAACCTCTGCTAACACAGAACTTAGACCTGAAACCTTTAACCACATTATAATTGGAATATTTGCAATGTGCACAGCATGTATATAGAACATGAAGTTCATTGTGTAGCATTAGAGTCCATGAATGGGCAAAGATTCATAGCAACATAATTGTTCTACCTCCTAAAAATAAATATTTAATGGGCTTGTGAGGTGGCTCAAAGGTAAAGGCACTTGTCACCGTGACTGAAGACCTGTGTTCCACCCCTGGAATCTTCATGGTGGAAGGAGAGAACTGATACTTGCCAATTGTGCTCTGACCTCCACAGAGCCCATGGCACATCTCTCCCAAGTAAATGAGTGTACCATTGAGACCGTTAAGTAAAAATTGGTGAACCAGCTTTAGAAAGTGTTAATGGAATAAATATAAGAAAACTAATGTAGTATGCAGATGGCATTTTCCATATAAATTCTTTACCATAGGATTCAGCAAAAAAAAAAAAAAAGTATATCAATCCTTCAGAAATTAAAGCAACTGTTTTAACATCGCTCTTGTTTTGTTTTGTATTAAACAGGCCATATACTCCTCTGAAGGGAGGGCTCTCCAATGTGTGGTTCGACAGACTTAAAATATCTAACGACTGCCCAGAACACATTGAGTCGATCGATAGAATGTGTCAAGTACTCACTGGATTGATTGATGAGGAAGTAAAGACTGGCATCCAGAAGAGCAGGATATTAATAGGTGAGGACTTTATAACGTTGGTACTGTGTTTCACTTTCGTCCAGTTATATTTTCTGAGTTGTATTTGTAACATTGTTTACAAGTACGTGAATATTGCTTGACCCGTTCACAGTTTTGGATAAGCTACATGTGCTGCTTTCAAAAGTATTAGAGTCATAAACAACAGCTCATGAAACTTTCATTGATTTTCATTTTTAATAACAACTCTCTTTTGGCTTGTTTATTTGTTTTAGACAAGGCACTACTATATAGCCAAGACTACATCAAAATTCCAGTTCTCCTGCACTCGGCTCTCAAGTGCTGGGCTATAGGAATATACCACCATGCCCCAGCTACCTTGCCGTTGTTTTAATGACAAATACTTTTCTACTTTAATTTTTAACTGAGATTATCCATTGCAATTAATTTTTTTCATATAGCTTGGATCTCCTGAATATAAGATAAAGCTGCTCTTACCATAATAAAAATAGGTAGATGGTGTACTGTCAAATTCATGAGCACAAAGTCTTTCAAGTAGGTGTCACAAGACATTGATAACCTTGTGTTAAACATGTCACAGTGAGTCCTGTTTCCAAGGGCACTCAAAACCTTATGTAAACTCTGTACTGAATGTATTCTTTGTCTGAACTCATCAAATACACAAACCTGCAAAAATTTCTACTTCTCTAATATATACAAATACAAGATGAGATGTGTAGACTGTCAGTTGTACAGAATGGTTTGGTTGCACAGTGTACAAACTTGTAGCTGTATATCATGATGAACTTATAATATAAATTAGACATCCCCATCATGTGCTAAATAGCATCAAAATATACTCAGCAATCTTCCAGAGACTGGATTAAAGAACAGTTTTAGTACTATAAAATTCCTTGGCACTCATTGAAGCCAAGTAGGTACTGAGCAGTTCAGTTAGTTACCAGCGGCCCATAATATAGTGGATAAGATATCTTCTGTGTTTTCTTTTGTTTTCTACTTTAGTTTAAGAACTGGTATGGCATTCAGCCCAGCTCACCATCTTTCTAATCCTCAGGCTCCTTGTCTGTGTTATTCTGTGTTTCTGTGCTTGGCACTGAGTATAGCTATCCCTAATAGAGGCAACCATGGAAGAGCGGGAAGCTTGGGAAGGGCACAGGGGAGGAGATGCAACCCAACCTGCAACCTTAGGAAACAGCAGGGAGAAGTCATGGATCCCACCATCCAGTCATCAGCATAGTCTCCCTAAGTCCCTGCTGTTGTGGCAGGAAGTTTTCTGTATACCTAAGGGACAAATAAATAAAGCAAGCTCTGCATCACAGATTTCTTCCTCTAAGTTACTTAAAGAAGTAACTAAACCTCCTGGGCTGTGATGAGCACCCTAGCATGATGTAATTCACAGCTATCCAAAGGGGATGGTCATGGATTATGCCCCATCACACTCCCTGCCCCTGAGCATCCAGTACAAGGCCTAGCACCAAGTACATGCTGAGCAAATGTGTACTCAGTAGATGACTCACGAGCAAACTCGTGACTGGAGTAATTATAACTGTAGGAATTTAGATGAAGGAAAGGTGACGTGCACGTGGGGATATTAGGTGAGAATCAGAGAAAGATGGCAGTGACACTGGAGGTTTGTTAGTTGTTAAAATTTAACTGTTATAGTGTGCAGTCCAGGCACAGTCCAGGCAGTCCAGACAGACGGTAAATAGGAAGTGGAAAAGGTCAGGCTTACTGTTTTGATCTCAGACACAGGCTACCACAACAAAGTCAGCTGTTGCACTGTGATGTTTTGTTGATGCTCTTTGCCAAGTTATGAATCTGAAGTGGTATAGTTGGATAGTGATGACACAGATGTGTCCAAGACTAAAGTCTGACATGCTTGGCTAGACCACCCCATAATTACTGTAAATATCTGTAATATCTGTAAAGTGGAGATAATGCAACTATTTGGTAGAGCAATGGTTCTTAGGAAGTATTTGGTTCATTCTTGACTCCTCGTAGATCCTCTTTTGATCATTCTGTGCATTAGGAAATAATCTGTCCATAGCAGCAACAAGCTAAGTATGGAGGCAGACAGATGGCTCTTTGGTTCAAAGAGCACTGGCTGCTTTTCCAGAGGCCCTGGGCTCAATTCCCTGCACCCACATGACAGCTCACAACTGTCTGTCATTCCAGTTCCAGGGGATTGGGTGCCATCTTCTGGCCTCCGTGGGTACCAGGCATGCACATAGTAATAGACACACATGGAGGCAAAGCACTTACACACAGAGTAAAGTAATACTAGAGATGTGTCCTACACTAAGCATGGGGAGCCAGTCCTTGAGTTTACCAGTGTTGGGTAATGGAACCCGAGGAGTTGGTAGCAGTAGGAAAATATCAGGATGAGGGTTTTTTTGTAAAATAAGTCCACAGAGCCTTTGGAAGTAGAAATGTTGAAAACTGCCCTGCACACTTGAGATGAAGAGCTTGCCCCATCACCTGCCCACCCTTCCTATACATCGTAAGCCCAGTAGCCTGTCTGTGGTATCTTTCAGTGTGTGCCATGAAGACGGTGGGTTTTGTTAAGGTCATAGAAGGAAGGAACACTTTGAATCTAGGTCTACTCAATTTAAAGCCCCATGATAAAAAATAAAAATTAGCAAAACATTTAAAGCCCATAATTCTTCCTTTAAACCTTAATATTTTTTTAAAAGTTCACGATATTTGTCAAAATCCCTTCACAAAAAATTATACCAATAGATGCCCCACCGTCTGCATTAAAACTCTTTTTTTTCTATTTTTTTTGTATTCTTCAACATTTTTCTACAGTCCAGATTTCATTCCCCACCCAGTCTGCAGTCTACATCCCCCCCATTCCCGACCGCTCCCCATCTCACTAGCCCTCCCCCACTCCCTGGGGTCTCAGTCTCTCCAGGGTTAGATGCATCTTCTCTCACTGAAGCCAGACCTTGCAGTCCTCTGCTGTATGTGTGTTGGGGGCCTCATATCAGCTGGCATATGCTGCATGGTTGGTGGCTCAGTGTCTGAGAGATCTCAGGGGTCCAGGTCAGTTGAGACTGCTGGTCTTCCCATGGGCCCCCCCCCCACCCTTCTCGTTGTCTTTCAGCTTTTCCACAATTCAATCACAGGGGTCCTCGGCTTCTGTCCATTGGTTGGGTGCTAGTGTCTGCATCTGACTCTTTCCGCTGCTTGTTGGGCCTCTCAGAGGGCAGCCATGCTAGGCTCCTGTCTGCAAGCACAGCACAGCATCAGTAACAGTGTCAGGGTCCCGGCGCCTCCCCTTGAGCTGGATCTCAACTTGGGCCTGTCACTGGACCTCCTTTCTCTCATGTTCTTCTTTATTTTTGTCCCTGCAATTCCTTCAGACAGGAACAGTTCTGGGTCAGAGCTTTTGACTGTGGGATGACAACCCCATCCCTCCACTTGATGTCCTGTCCTGTCCCTCCATTGGAGGTGGACTCCACAAGTTCCTCCTCTTCACTGTAGAGCACTTCATCCAAGGTCCCTCTCTTTGAGTCCTGAGAATTTCTCACCTCCCAGGTCTCAGGTACATTCTAGAGGGTCTCCCCACCTCCTACCTCCCGAGATGGCCTGTTTCCATCCTTTCTGCTGGCCCTTATGGCTTCAGTCCTGCCCCCCTCCAAATACCTGATCATATTCCCCCTCTTTCCCTCCATGTCCCCTCTCTCATCCAGATCCCTCCCTCCCTCTGCCTCTCCCCACCCCTGTGACTGCTTTCTTCTCCCTCCCAAGTGGGATTGAGGAACTCTTTCTTACTACCAATCTTGAGTGATTTTTTTAAAGTAAGTTTAAACAAGTATTAGTAACTAATTTTAATTTACATTTAATTTGCTATTTTTCTTCCAGTACTGCTTTAGTTTAATAGAAAAGGCTTTTCTCTTAAAAAATTTATTAGCTTATCCCTTTTATAACTTTTTTCTCTTTTGTTCTCTATAACTTAAGTGAACATTCATTCAAATTAATTAAATTTTTTATAATTTATTTTACATTTAATATTTGATTTACCTGGAATTTAGTTTCTTTTTCCTCCATAGAATGAAGGTTTTTTTTAAATTATTTTCTGAATCAGAAAAAGAAATTTGTTAAAATGTTAATTTGTATATAATTATAAGACAGTCTGTGATTAAATTAGTATTTCACTAGGACTCCATGGAATTTATGAGAAAAGAAAAAATGTTTTTGGGAATATATATATATATATGTATATATATATATATATAACATAAAAATATAAAATTTGAAGTTTATAATGAAGGCTTAACAACATTTGTAGAGTACTATAAATTATGAAAATCTAAAACAGACAAAGAAGAAGTACGTTGTTATATTTGTAACATGAGCCAGTCAACTTGAGTAAAACAAGTTTCCTAGCTTGAGAGAGAGATCAGAAGTGCAGATAGGACCCTGTTTGTTTGTCCTTCTTAACCACCTGGTTCACTGTTTGACTAGTCAGTGACAACAATAGCAGCTCCACAGTTGGGTGACATAAAATACATGTGATTCTTCACAGCATGTACATGAGAAGTAAGCTGCCCCAGCCGCTCCTCACACAGGAAGCACAGAGGGTTATACCCCTGTCTGCCTGTGCTGCTGTTCTCCCAATCACTGAGCTAGCTGTAGTTTCTCATCTATTTAAAATGTGGCACAGAGTGACTGTGAATCACTTGTACCCATGGCCTGTGCATTATGGACACTGCAGCCATGGCCTCATGATTATGGACTTGAGTGCTGAAGGCTGAAGGGCACCAGCCCAGCTGACAGCACAGGACGAAGGGAAGAAGGAGCTGGGCACGTGCGCTCGGAGCTGCTGACCCTTGACTTAGCACGTGTAGGTGCTCTCGCCTCCCTGAGGTCTGTGCCATGAGAGACCATTGCCATGGAGTTCAGATGTGCCGATGTCAGTGAGATACTTGTAGCTAGGAATGTACCTGGAATTTCCTGCTGAGATTCTGTGCTCTCTGTCTCATCCACTCCAGTGGCCACCAGAGGCCTGAATGCCA